CTTAACTAGCCGCGATTCTGAAGGCCGGATACTTCTGCAGACCCTGCAGAATCAGGTACATTTAGGCAGTACTAAGAAATGTGATTTTTGTTGTAACTAGTTAACGAGTCACACCTCGCGTTGCTGAAATTTCCAGCATTAAGCCGTTTCGAGGCAACAAGGCAGCCTTTTTATTCTCATAAATACATTGCCTACCTAGAATCTGAAGTCGCAAACACTTTTCATATGAAGATTAGTTGAAGGTATTCGCTCCCCTACACTACAGATGATTTTTGAGTCAACCATACAATCAGGGCCCGTAACTGTTATGGATTTTTTCAAAAGAGTCGATAAATAATCGTTTTTTTTATTGATTTTTTCGATCAAAAATTAAGAGTTGAAATTAGACTTTAATTTTTCGATCATAAATAAAAGTTTACTTTTGACTTATGCATATTTTTTCGTTCAAATTTCGCTTTGATTTTTTCGATTTAGCTTTTATTTTTGATCGAAAAAATAAAAATCAAATTTTAATTGTTAATTTGGACAGAAAGAATATTGTTAAACAAAAATAACAAACAAAAATTTAAACAGGGACCGAACATAACATTATTGATGAAAACTGTCATGGAAAAATTCACTACAACTAAGTTATACCTACCAATCAATTTCTTTTTTTCACCGAGACTCAAATTTGAAAAAAAAAAAATTTATTTGCAATTTTTATGCAAAATTATAAAATATAACAATTATTTTTGATTTTTATATTATAAATCCAAAATAACAATTATTTTTTATTTTTATATTATATATCTTAAATAACAGTTTTTGAAGACTTTTATTTATAAAAGTCAGCAATAAAAATCAGTCAGTGACTTTTACTTTTAAAAGTCATCAATATAAATCAGTTACCGACTTTTAAGGAGTAATTAAATAAAAGTAAAAAAATAATTGTTAAAGAGCAATTTTTTTAATAAAAGTTGTACCTGTTACGGTCCCTGAATTTAAATCATTTGGTTATTCCCCTTAGCTAACAAGCATCACACTGCATATATTCAAATATCATATAGACAAATTCTTTCCGTCTGACTTCTTGAATTGAAATTTCGAAAGGCTCAAAATATGCAATACTTATTTTTACGAAACCGTTTTTTGGTTATTTCGGTTATTAAAGCTTACAACGAGGACGGATTCGTTCGAAAAATATGACACTGAGCTTGGCAAAAAGCTGAAACTGGTTTGTGTCTAAACTAAATTTGACAAATGATGAAGAAAATGAATTCCAAATGCAATAAAATATTAGCTACCTTCATTGAGGGGAAAAAAAATTGTATAAAAAAAAAGTTGCTCAAGAAATGTAGTTAATTTCCTAATTTTTTTGTCATTTTTGGAAACTGGCTACTCTGAAGACTACTAACAAACAACACTTATTATTAACACCCTACTGCGAAATCTAAGCTAAGTTAAGTTATTTAGTACGTTGTTTCATTACTTCTTTCAAAGAAAAAAATTACTTCTAAAAAGAAAATATTTGCATATTTATGTATATACAACTACGCAGAAATCAAAATGAACTCTCCCACAACGTAAACCAATTAACCGCCCACGGTTTCGGTTTGTCTGCGGAAATTGCCATGGTTCCACAATGACTAACAAACATTGGCGCCGTTGGAATTCCCATGGCATCGAATAACAACAACAACAAACAACAAGCGCATGGGTGAATAGCTCTGCTTTAAATATGCCTTGTCCTCGCCTTACTTACTAGCTATATCCTTGCACCTGCTGGCACTACAGCCGGGCAGGGCAATGAGATCCTTGTATGAACAAGAGACATAAGTAAATACATGCTTGTAGATGTAGCAGATACACAAGCAAATCATTCCTGTCAACAAAACTGTCACACGGCAGTAGACTATGGGATTCTGTCACATTGCCATCTAAGATGCCTCGCATATTTGCCATAGCTTACCTTTTGAGTAAGGATAATTTTCTTTTTTAATTTTTTATACATATTTTTAAAATCAGCTGCTGTTTCATAGAATTTTTTCTTGTTTCATAAGAGCACCTATTTTCTGCTTCTTCAATTGTTCGCCCACAATTGATTTACAATTAAAGTCATTAACTTTTGCAGTCGCGTGCGCTTTGTGGTGTTTCTCATTTCTATTTAGTTTTTTTTTTTTTTATCTAGTATTATGTATGTATGTACAGTGGCGATCAAAAATAAATGAATGGTGTGGTGTTTCATTTTTAATATTTACAATGTTTTTCGAGCTAAAATTTTTTTGATACTTTTTTATAATAATATGTTTCATGCTTTAACAAATACTATATAAGTCACACTTTCAAACTTTATACAGAACTTAAGAAAAATTCCACAAATTTGTATCTTACTTTCGAGCTTTTTAAACAGAATTTTTAGAAATTTTTCGGGCTTGCAGTTAACAAGCTAATAAAATTCTAGTAAAATAAGTGCAAGTTTCGAGCGGCTAAAAAATCGCATTGATTTAAAAATATTTTTGTTTTTGTTGACGGCGTTTGCAATTTTTCTATATAAGTAAACATGAATTTTTTGTGGAAGAATATGGGCAAGACCGTTGCGAAAAAACAAAAAAAAAGTCAACACCAGCTTTTGTCTAAATTTCGCTATTTATTTAAAAAAAAAAAAACCGCAAAGCCGTCAGCAAAAAAAAAAAATTAAAAATCAATGCGATTTTTTAGGTGCTCAAAACTTGCACTTATGTTACTAGAATTTTATAAGCTTGTTAACTGCATACCCAAAAAATTTCTAATATTCTGGTTACAAAGCTCGAAATTTAGATAAAAATTTGTGGAATTTTTCTAAGTTCGGTATAGAGTGCGAAAGTGTGATTCATATAGAGTTTTTTGTTAAAGCAGGAACGATATGTTTATAAAAAAGAATCAGACAAATTTTAGCTTGAAAAGCATTGTAATTTTATTAAAAACAAAACACCCGTCATCCATTTTTGACCGCCACTGTATTTGCATTGTTATTGCTGCTGTTGCTGTACACATACATATGTATCTGCTGTTTATGCAAAATGCCAACAATTTTACGAGCACATATTGATTTATAGCACATTCACCACTTTATCGGCATGACATAGCGAAATTAAAACAACAACAACTTTTCCATACGCCTCTCAAATTGGACATAAGTTAGGCTAAATGAAAAAAGCGGGTGGGCGAGGGTGCTGTTTCAAGGCAATACAGCTGTTGTTGTGTCGACTTCGACTTCTTGTCTAGCACAATACATATTAATGTAAGTCAATTTATTAGAATCATATGCACACAATCGGGTTATTACCTCTTTAAGGAAGCAATTTACGGGATTTAGTGTAAAAGTTGTAGAGAATAAAGAAACTGTTGACTCATTGCTCGACCTGTTGACTTTGGATAATTGTCGTTCGACATAATTTATGGATTAGGAAAATATGTAGTGCAGTGGTCCTATAGTCGATAATTTATGTGTATTTGCATATTATGTATTTGATTAGCATGGAATTCGTTGACGGTAATTAAACTGAAGCTGATCGACTTTGTTTTAGGGAAAATTGGATTTGTAAGTGTAAATGAAAGTAAAAGCTGTACAAAATTTGTAGTCATATAAAAATTGGGCATAATTTTTTGACCGTTTTAAAAGTGGATATTATTAAATTTAAATTACTAATTCAAAAATTAAACAAAAAGTTTTCGAAAATTAAATTGAAAGTTATCGAAAATTAAATTGAAATTTATCGAAAATTAAGTTATTGGGAAATAAAATCCAAAGTTATCGGAAATTAAAAGAAAATATCGAAAATTGTATCGGAAATTATCGAGAATTGTGACGGAAATTATCGAGAATTGTATCGGAAATTATCGAGAATTGTATCAGAAATGATCACAACTTGTATCGGATATGATCGAGAATTGTATCGGAAATTTTCGAGAATTGTATCTGAAGTTATCGAAAATTGTATCGGAAATTAGCGAGAGTTGTATCGGGAGCTATCGAAAATTTTACCAAAAGTTGAAAGTTACTGAAATTTAAATCGAAAGTTTACGGAAAGTAAGTTCAAAGTTATCGAAGATTTAGTCGAAAGTTATCAAAAATTCAATTCGTTCAAAGTTTTCGAAAAGTTAGTTGAAAATTTTCGAAATTTCAAGCGAACGGTATATCAAAAATTGAAATCGAATATTAAATCCAAAGTTATCGAAAATTAAATCAAAACTTGTATTGAAAATCAAAAGAGAAAATTCTTAGTGATTATATGGAAGGTTTTTGAAAAATTTATCGAAAATTATACCGAAATTATCGAAAAGAAGTCAGGTTAGGCTAGCTCAATCGGGCAGCTCTGATGAAAACATTACTCGGTGGCCTCAGGGTATTATTGCGATTTTAAATATTATATCGATGTTATCGAAAGTTAGCGAAAAGCAAATCGATGGTTATTGTAAATAATTTCGAAAGCTATCGGAAATAATATCGAAATTCATCGAGTATAATACCGAAATTTATCGAAAAAATATCGGAAGTTTTCGGAAATAAAATCGAAAGTTATCGGAAATAAATAACAAAAAATAAAATTTAAACTTATCGAGATAATATCGAAAGTTCTATAGAAAACAAATGTTATCAAAAATGGTATACATGTATGTATGTAAATCGATGTACATATATCGATATACATCTAAATGTATGCATCAAGAACATATCAATGAGCGATTACTGTAATATTTGCTCCGATTTGTACTGTCTTTATAATAACCTAGTACTATATAAATATCGATTTCAAGCGGAAACCCATTTTAGAATGGACCGTTGGGTAGTTACACAACAATTTAATGGTTGAAATATAACATACAATGCACATTATTAAAAGGAGGCTATGCACACGTAGTATACGATTAGATACATACATATTTATGTGCATGTGAACCAGTATAAATGCATATTAGTTAGAAAAGCATATACTATGTGTGTATACTAAAAAGGCATTTAAAAAATTTATATTTACTGGCATGTCCTCATCCATCGAGTCCTCCTCGTCCATTTTGATGATGGCGCTGCTCTCGCCGCCAGCAATTGCGCTCACGCTGCTACCCGTTGTTGCTGTTGTTGCGTTAACCGTTTGAAATAGTAAAGTTTTTGTATGACCGCGCAGATAGCTGCTGCTACCGCTACTACCAATGCCGCTAGCCCGATTATTGCCGGCGCTATAAACAATTGCTGCCGCAGTTGCTGCTGCTGCTACTGCCGCCGGTGCGCTGCCACAGACAAAATAATTATTACCGCCGCCGCTATTGGCGCCCAGACCGTCAGTAATGGTCAAAGCAACAGCACTGCTGCTGGCTGTCGAATTGGCGTAAGAAGCTGTCGGCGATGAAGCCGATGTCGTATTTGAGGAGACGGATGCTGTTGCGCTAGCCGGTGCGTGAGCGCTTAAGTTTGCTGCCGTTGGCGGCGCGGAGGCTGTAACTGCGGCTGAGGATAAGGCGGACGATGACGACGACGATGAGGAGGATGTGTTCGAGGTGGCCGAACGCCAAATGCTGCCACCAAGACCGCCAATCAAACGCCGACCACTGCCGACAATGCCACCAACACTGTGGCCAACTAATGTGCCAAGGCCACTGCTGATGGCAGTGTTGTTGTTATTGCCGCTGCTGCAACTGTTGCTGCTGCTGCTGCTGCTACTCGAATTATTGCTGTGATTGTGTAATAAGCTCAAATTGAGGCCGCGTTTGCCACCACTAACGCTATTATTATTTTCAGTCTGCGCGGTGCTGCGCGATGGCCGTGTTGGATTTAGTGGCGCTGCGCTACCTCCACTGACGCTACTGCTACTACCGCTATGACTACAAGCGCTGCTAACTTGGCCACTTGCACTCGAACTACTACTGCTGCTGCTGCTCGGGTAAAGCAACTCTGCGCTGCCACCGCCGCCGCCACCACCTCCGCCGCCGCCGATGCTATTGCTGCTGCCGCCGACGCTGCTACTGCTTGCGATACTCAAACTGCCTGCCACACTGCTGGCGCCAACACTCTCACTCCCACCGCCAACGATGCTGTCAACACCAAGACTGCTACTGCCAATGCCTATGCCGATGCCGATGCCGCTGCCGCTGCCGCCAATGCTTGCGCCAACTCCACTGCTGCTGCTATTCAAAATTGTATTATTTTTGATGAACATTTAAGGCCGAAGACACTTGCCGCGCTTAAGCTGAGGCTTTGGAGAAGGGTTTGGTTTGAATGTGGTTTTCGTTTTTTGCTTTCTTATTCTTTGCGTCTTGGTTTTGTTCCAAGTTGAACGTACAAATGGTTGGTACAGTTAATGGGCTGAGCGTTTTATCTGCACTTTTCAAGAACTGTATTTTAGCACTCTTTAAAGCGTGTTTTCCAAACTTTGATGTTTTTATTTATTTACAAAATGTTATTGTAGTCCCACAAGCCGCTGGTAATAAATAAATAGAAGAAAAAACAAATGTTCACTACAACATAATCTTTGCAAAAAAATTTTCCAGTCTATACATTTTTTGTTTGCTTTTATTTTTATTATTATTTATTTTCTGTTTGTGCCGCTTTTTTCATTGCTTTTTATTTTGTTGCTGTTGCTGCTACGCCCTGTTTGTCGTACAGAAAATACGCGCGACACATCCGGCACTTCTGACACAATTATCTGCTTCTAGAAGCCTGCGTAAAACGCGTACGAATACGCGAGAACAGGTTTATGTTTACATTCGAGACATAAAAAAAAAAGTGCCAAAAATATTACGTCCGTTACTCGCAAAACAAAAGCAACACAGGCAAATAAAACAAGTTCGTCGCTCGTTAAGTATGTTGATCTGTGTGTTTTTTTTTTTAGATTATTAAGATTGCGCGGCGTCTGCCAGCGAACGCCTCTGAGTTGACCGCAGCAAATATGCACGTAAATTTAATTAATTTTTGCTGTTGGCTGTTTGTTATTATTTTGTTTTTGAAGCTAAAACAAGGCGACTACCGTAAAATTAACGCATACCAACAGGGGTTAATAAATGTAAATAATTGGATGTAAATAAAGTAATAGGCAGAGGTTACATAAAATAAACCGTTATTACCTAACAAAATAAATAATAATTATGAAGAAAAGTTCAGTAAAATCAGATTTAATAAAAAAAAAATTCAGAAAAATTTACAAAAAATAAAAATAAAAAAAATTTTATGAAAAAACTCAATGAAACAAAAAAATATACATACAACTGCAGTGGTTGTAGACTCAGTTGCTCTAAATATGTATATATGTATGTATCGTCCCCCTTTTGCCAGAAGCATGAATGTGCAAATTTACTAATTTCAAACTCAATGTCTCAACAATTTCGTTTTTACACATTCATGTTTCTGGCATAAGGGCGACGATATCACTATAATCGTTCTGCGAAAATTTGTTATTTCCATAAGTGTTGTGAATTTATAAGAACAAAATCAAATGCCTATGAACATGTATATCCAAAGCAATTTTTATACGTTAATTTTGTAGGTCCAAAAATATAAAAATATTGTAGTTCCTAAAAATTGATTGGTTTTTTAACTTTTTTATATATTTTTAATTTTACTTAACTTTGTAATTTTTTTTATTTTAAATTATTTGATTCCTTATTTTTTTCAATTTTATTATTTTTTTTTATTTATTATTATTTTTTAACTACTTATTCTTATTTATTTATTATTATTCACATTTAATTATTAATTATAATTTTTTTTTATAAATCCTTATTTTTATACATTTTACATTACTTATAAATTTTATTTATTAATTTTTTATTTTTTAACATAGATTTTTTAAATTAGTTTTTTTTTTATAAATTTTCATTCTTTTAAAAATATTACTTTTTATTAATGTTAATTTTTTAATTTTCATGATTTAAAAGTTTGTATTTTTATAATTTTTATAAGTTTTTTATTTTTCATAAATTTTTGATATTTTTAACACTTTTTTTAACTTTATTTAAAAAATTTTATTATGATAAATTTACTATTTTTTATTTTATATTAATATTTTATTTTTAATTGTGATTTATTTTTATATTTATTGATTTTCTATGTTCTTACATTTTATTTTTATTTATTCATATTTTTCCCATTATATTTTAAATTTCTTTCATATTTTTAATTAATTTTTAGACACATTGTTTAAATTAATTAATATGTATTATTTTTTGTTATAACATTTTAATTTCTTTATTGATTGTTTTATTTAATATGTTTTAAATCTTTCGTCGGATTTTTTTTACTTCAGTTGAAGTTTATTTTTAAACTAATTAATTCTATGTTTTTAGCAAATTATCTAATAATTTTTCTGTTAATTAAATTTTCTTAATTTAAATTTTTCATATTCGCCATTTATATTTTTATTGGCAACTTGCTGTTAATTACTTTTAATTTTATATTGTTAATATTTGGTATTTTATGTCATTATTTTGGTACATATTTTTTTATTACATTATGATTTCAGACAGCTAGATTTGCTTATTGAAACTTGCATGAAATGTTATTTTATGTGTATGTGTATTTTATACCGATGGCTGAGTGGAAGATCGACCTATCTCAGCACATTTTCAATGTATTTTAGCACCGGGCATTTTTGAACCGAATTCTGAGATAGGGCGTTCTTCAACCAAATTCTGAGACAGGGTGCTTTTCAATAAAATTCTTTTGCATTTGAACTCTGTAGTTACTCGTATTTTATTTTGATGCCACCAGCTGATTGAATTTCTTTTAATATCACCTGATTTTTTTAGATTTTATTTTCCACCCTTTATTTGTTTTTGCTTTGTTTTAAGCACTTTTTTAATTAATATGTACATACACACATATGTATGTATATTTTTTCTTTTATTTTGCTACTTTTCAATAACCCACTTTTTGCCCAATTCAAATAAAAAAATATCAATAAATTTTTTGTTTGCCTTTTTTCGTTTTCCTTTTTTTTGGTAGCTATGAGTTCACGGAACTTGTTTAACAGCCACTTTGTATGGCGGTAGAAACGAATTTATTGGCTTTCTAATTATGTATAAATTTTGTTTTTATTTTTGGTTTGTATTATTTATTTGATCCACGCACACGCCGCACGCTAGCTCTGATGTTCTTAACTCATCCCGCTGCTTTCTCCAAGTCAGCTGTTGCGGTGACGCGTGGGTCGGTCGCACACGGCGTATACGTAACACAGTAGTTAGATAAAGATTGTCGTTGTCGTTGCGGTCGACGTCAACGTCGACGCGGCGTCGTTGCGTTTACGTCGAAAATCACTGAAAAAACATCGCAGTTCGTTCGCATCGCATTGTGTGTGTGAGCATGTGAGCACAAAAAAAAAACAATGGGAAGAGAAGAGAAAGAGAAGAGTACAAATACAATTTAGATATAAATGTTTGTACGTTTGCACATTTCAGTTAACAAGAACAAAGGGGAAAAAATTGCTATACATACAGTATATACTATATATTTATGTACATATGTAGTATCAACGAATTTGAATTTTTATTAACAAATTCATAGATTGTTTGGTGATTTTGCAATAGGAATACCGGATGAAACGCAAATGGTAAAATTTGTTTGTGGGGGGTGGGACTGCTGTGCATTGACCTTTGCTAATTTTTGTATGAAAGTGATTAGTGCTTGTGCAAATTTATCTATGTATTTATGTGAATATATGCATTATATGTATATATTGAGTGCATAATTCAGTGGTAAGAAAAAGGGGCGTGACTGTCGATTGAAGGCTTTGTAGAGTGATTGAAACAATATTAGACTTGAGGGGGGGGGATTATGAAATGAACTCGCAATGCGCTACTGGAAAATGAATGAGATCTGCACATGTGACATTTTCATTAAATCATTGTTATTCAAAATCATTGACACATCAATCATGTTACGAGAACTTAATGTCGATTTTCGCTCAAAAAAAAAAATATCAAACCAATCATTGAATGTTTGCAGCAAATGAACGATATATATAAATATCTAAATGTCTAAAAATAAAAAAATTAATATATTACAAACACTAAACCAATTGTTTCAACCGAATTTTGAATTTCAGTACTTAATTTTTTCCCAATACCCCATAAAAATCTAAAAGCAGTTTAATCGATTTTTTAATTAACTCATTTATATAAATTTCAACATTAACCAATAGTGTAAATAGGGATGTAACGTTCTTATCGATAACTTATTGCCACTTTTTCTCTAAGATTTTCGAGCGAAAAACTAAGCCATGCAGTTTTTGAGGAAGTCTTTTGAGGTCAGCTTTCTCCAAGAAAGAGTTTTGCAGAGATGGAAACAATACATATTAAAATGGCAAGATCCAGGCAATACGGTAGAAGCATTGAGAAACAACTCATCTAAGCTAAATATTTCGACATTTTTCGGATTACTTAGTAGCCAAAAGAAGTACGTCGAGTCTACAATTAAAAAATTTTGATTAATGAAATGTAGAGCACTTAGTGTTACAACATTTGACCGCAAATAAAACAAGGGAAAGAAAGCATGGACACGGAAGACAAAGTGTATTTTTGCGGAAACTTCAAAAAACATACGCGGTAAATCGTATATAACGAAACAAACCTCCCTATTTACGAAGATCAACCGAAACCATTCCTAAACAGATGAAAATAGAGCTCGCATTAGCCAAACGACCAAGTAACGCTCATTGAATTACCTTTTTGGTAATATGCCTGACAGACGGCAACGCTGATGCAGATTAACTAGCATACAAATGCGCATAACAATTCTACCCCAACAGACGACATTTATGTGCATTTAGAAACAGCTGTAAATAGTAAAAGAACTCTTTAGTTCTTCCAAATAAGCACGGTGACCAATAAAATAGTTCGTAAATAAAGGCTTTTTATACAGATAATCGCGCCGTCTGTCATGCGTATATGCAAATCACACAATCAAAATTAAATAGCGAGGAGCCTTAAGAGGACTAAGTTTGCAAAGTTAGCACGAAGAGCTAGATCTAGTTTGCGCAAAGTAATTAATGGGCTTGAATCAAGAAATAAAATTTACAAAAAATATTGTGGAATTTAAAATTAAAGGTAAACAAAAATTTCATTGAGAATCACTTTTTTTGAAGTCCTTACTATCGCCACTTATGACGTATGCGTTTTTGTTTTTATTACATTGCATTTCACCGAACAATGGTATACATAGCTTCAAGGCGGTGACGGTGAAAACAAAAGGAGGTCAAAAATGTCACTCGGCCGCAGTCAAAACAATACATTAATTCTGCATGTATCAACAGCGTGCTATGCCGGTAGGCATAATTGTGAATATATAAATACATTTCAATATACATACATGCTTACATACATATGAACATGTGTATATGCATAAATGCTTATGCAGGCATCCACTAGGGTCAGCGGTTCGGATTTTATATCAGTTTTTTGTTAAATAAAAAATTAATTAATTAAATAAATAATAAAAACCACAAAAAGTAAAAGTAGAAAAAATTAGATTACAAAGGCA